TAAAATTCTAGTTTATTTCTTAATGTAATTTAAGCCAACTTATATTGGACTGAAATCCTCAGTATGTAAATGAGTATCTTAGTCTTCGCATATTTCCCTAGAGAATATCAATGTAAGACATTCATTAGGCTGGGGAAAACAAAACTTGACTAATCAACCGTATACTGATATACAATAAGAACAAATGTGCCGAAAAGTGTAACTATATCTTAAAAATGTGTTGGTTTCTGAGAGCAAATCCCTTAAGGCCCAGTACCTATCACTTTTCTTTGCGAAAATAGAAAAAAAAACGTTTTGGGCCATGAACACATTTACATAAACTAATAAAGTATGCTAGTGCAATAGTACCACGCTGTTTCTTGAAAAGTTGAATATATATCACGTAACTTTGACGATCATGTACACGCGAGATTAGCCAGAGAGCCGGGTATATGAAAAGAAATAAATTCACGTTCTCTCACAAAGTCAGAACTCGCGGCTGCAATTAATGTCACTTTTCGCTTTATTTTGGCAAGTTTGCCGAACTATTTGTTTTTATTGTAATCTTGTAATTTAAACACTTTGGTTGGTGACTCTGATGGTGGCCAACACTTTAATTGCATGCAAAGTTGCATCGATATATCAATTTCATCCCGAAATCATCGTTTCATATAGCTCTTTAAGACGTGATTTGTGTCGTATACGATATACTTACACTTTCTAGAACACACGATACCACTTTTTATTTGCTAAATTCTACTATTTAAATTTGGTATCGGATCGTTGTGTTTCGTTTATTTGCTAAACGACTTTGCCTTCAACCCTATCCCTCTGGCCATTACTTTTATATAACTGAATGCGCGCATTTAAGCTAATAGTTCCATACTTTATGAATCTGGGTGGGGTGAGGCGTTTCACAGATTTGATACGACAAGATAAGCTATATCTATGTGGTTTTAAGTTATTGCAGAAAGTGCCAAACAGGTATTTGGGCGTGTAAGGAACTTTTACAACCTTAGATAAGACGATAAGGGAAGGTATCAGTCGGATTGTATGTTATTGTAGAGCATGCCAACCACGAAATGGCTATCTCTACTATTTATATGTTATATAAGATACATTATACAGTGTTTGTTATGTCTTTCTGATTATATACCATGCTCTCTGTGTTATATTTTATTCTGTAATAATACCTGTATTTAAAATTTCTTCTGGCACTTTGACAACCCTTATATCACCAGATTAAACAATTGATGTAATGCATATAAATGTATTTAATTATATAATGGAAGCTCATAGATCGTGTCGTCATGCCTTATCTCTGTATGCATATAGGACACCCTACGTCACTTTGAGGTTACACTTTTTACATACCTACATTGTATGTGGAAGCATATTGTCGTCACTCCGATCTGCTAGTCAGCAATCCTTTAAGCGGTCTACAGGTCAGGCTGTTTAAGATTTCTTTTTTCCAACTTGTCATAAGGAGGAAACTAATCGAAATTCAAGAGTCGTGCATATATGTTTAACAGGGTTACTGTACCTTTTACTAAAGCTTTGAATGCGATTGCTGGGTCAACCATTTTCATTTTTTAAAAATAATATTGAGAGTGGTACATCGATTTTAGGTGTATTTATTTGCTGTGAATCTGAAAACTTAAAAGCCCACCTTCAACATCATGCTGGTGGACGTATTTTGGTTGCCTAGCAACGGTATATTTAGCTCTATAGATTTGAGTAATGAATTAGTAAATTAACAGGGACCGATTTGTCCCTGGCTATATGTAACGTTAAGTTCGGCCGAATAACAGATTATAGCAGGGGTTTATGTAAAGTTAAAAGACTGGGTTGTCCGGTTTAAGAGCAATGTAGGTCTCTAGACGGAAATTCGTCTATTTCCTTTTACTGACAATCAGATTTAAGATATAAAGGAAAAACTACGTTGATCTCATCTGAAGATGTCTGGAAAAGATAGATGGACTATAATCTATATCCGCTTTGATAAGATTCAACAGATTATAAAATGAAAGAATGTCCTTTTTCAAGATTATGAAGTTTGTATGATACTTGTGTCTTCATGCATACGAGATATCAGTTCCCACATAGCCAAATAATCGAATTATAAAGTATGTCCGCAGAACACAAAAGGCATTCTTTGTTACTAATCGATGCAACTACTTCTTTAATAGTAAGCTGATCAGTTTACTTTTAATACCTGTTTGGATAATCCCTTACTTTAATTATAACGGGTATTTATTTTATCCTTATTGAGCTGAAAATCACCTTCTGTCTAGATCTTTGTGTGAGAAATGAAATGAAGTTTAGCGTCCTACATTTATGCACCGGCGTGGCTAATGAAGACAACATACGCCATCCAGTAGGCGCTACGGCCAACGCTTATTTATTTCGATTTCCTACAGTCAAAGTCATGGGCCGATTAACGCGCCACGAAGGACTAAATGCTGTCCTCCACAACTGACAAGCGAAACCACTGGTTAGATCCCCTGGTTAGCAAGCCAGTGTCTTACCTCCTGAGCCGCCGTGGTTCGTTACTCGTATCACATGCCATTGTTACATCAAAGAGTGCAATAGTATCAACATTAATCCATTATCCGATAAACACACCTTTAGCAACTAATAACACCATACTTTACAGCCATACCTGGACGATAATTATCATCGATAGTTTAATATTTGCCAACGTAGATGATAAAACCTAACGGAAAGAGAAACACCATTCAAATACGCTTCCTTCTTATTTGCAACACCAATCCTTTAAAAACTTAATTCGTCGTCAACAATTTTTAAATGTGAGTATAAAACACGGTGTTGATATCAAGCATTGAAAACTCTGTTTTCATTAGTTTTCTAAAAAATGAAAAGTGCAGAAACACTCACCTCTGTATCCAATGATACGCTCCACTAAATCCGTTAAAATCCGTAGAATTCCCACAGAAAATAATAATTATGTGTAACCAGATTGCAGATGATCTCTTCCTTCAGGTGAAGACAATTTTTGCCAATTTGCAATTGATAAATGTGAATAAGAGAAGAGATTTAAGAATCGACAAATTGCACCCATAATTCCATTACACTTGGGCTAGAAATTATTGAACGACGTTTATCGCAAATTAACGACATTTGCAGTTTTTGGCCTTTTTTTACCCGACTAGATAGAATCTGTCGAATGGTAACTTCTGTCTGAATAAAAATGAAAATAAGTTCATCCGTGATTATTTGAAAGTTTTTTCGAAAATGATGAATAAAGAGTGTGGAAAAACACAAGACTAGAAGTTGTATAAACACGGTTATCTAGCATTTGAAATAGATAATGATGTTTTCACTTCCAACTCAAATTACTTCTAATAAGTTACATTTTACCATAATTATTTTAACGATGACGTTCAAATCGTAACTTGCTTGACCCTCTACGCGATTTGAGCCTCTTGGTAGTATTTTTAAAAATGGTACACAATACACATTGCTTGTGATATTGAAACGGGGCTGCTTTGTCATTAAGTTCAAAAATTGCCTTTACTATCATTTTATCACCCAGTAACACATTCTACAGTAGATATCGCTATCTACTGAATTTGACTGGTCAATTGAAAAGGTACTTATTTTTGTATTAAAAGGGAACTTCTTTTTTTATTAAAAAGAAACTTCTTTTTTTTTAAAAAAAGAAACTACTGTTTGGATCCAGTAATATTGTTGGGGAAAAGTTCTCAATTACTATAAAAAATTTCAATATTCCCCATAACCCTAAAGGAAATACCGGCTTAATAGGACTTTGCAACGGGTGACTTGCTGTCAAAAATGATGTATCACTGCACCGTAATGTAATCAGGTTCAGTAAAATTAAATCTATAGCAAAGAATTATATTTACTTATTTGTGTGCGTAACAATGGGTTGGGTGATAAACAAAATCTCCTACTCGTCTTTTTTGATATCAAAAAATATCAACACTCGTCGGTAAAGAAAAAACTCAGCAAACCCTCGTTTTATGGGGTTTTTTAATTTATCGACGTACGTTGATATATTTTAATATAAAAAGACTCGTGGAAGATTCTCTATATATTGAAATATTTTCTTAAAATACTTTTCATTCTTCATTTTGTCTTAAACTGATTTAATATTAATCCATGAGCTTCGTAGACTTCAAAACTTCAAGATAGTCTGGATAATGTAATATACGTATATCATTCTAATATACCAACAGATATTTAATAGTAATATAAGGGCAGATAAGTATGTAAATGGACAAGAAATACAAAATAAAATCAAAATGTATAGAAATAATAGATATTTGGCTTGCTGAAAAGCCCTCCAGCAAACAATTCGGTTCCGATATGAAGCGGGTGCCAAATATATACTTAAGTTGTACAGTTTTACTCGAGACCCATGCGAAGGGAAACGAACCAAACTAGATACCAAGTGAAACACCGACTCAAAACAGAACACACGTCTTCAGATTTCAAACTGAAACGGAATCGGTAAACAGTTCATCCACAAGTCAGTTCAGTGCAATTGTTTCTCTCACGTAGAAATAATGTTCACATGTTCTTAGTTGGCAAAATAGTTTACTGTCTGATGAAAGTTGTTCGGCATGTTTTGAGAAAGAGAGCAACGGGTTTTAACGTCCACTTAACACAGTCTAGGTTATTTCGGGACTAACGTATGGTTCAGTTCTATTTCGCAGGTGTCTTTAGTGATGGGAGGGAACCGGAGGACCCCGAGAAAACCCACAAGGTTGCATGGACAGGCGACTCTACTTCTTGTCACCCCACTTGACTTCATGGCAGACCTTATGATCCATTCGGCCACCGAACCCCCCTTCGGTATGTCTGACAAGATTATACGTACTGCAACAATAAACAGATGGTTCTGTAATACAAGAAGATATCTACACATACTATGTTTTATTGTCCTGTTAAAACAATTTATAAAAAAAACAATTTTTATCGTGTGAAATTAGCATTATTTTTTAATCTAGCCTTTAAATTAATTCCTTTCATTCCAGAAAATGAAGACCAATTCACTAATAGATCGTTTAATAATCCAGTCTTCCTACCATCAGTAACTAATATTACTGTTAAAAGAGGGTCGTTGGCTGTTTTACCCTGTTCTATACAATATCTACAAGATAAACAAGTAAGTTTTAACGTATTATATACAATACCTACAAGATAAACAAGTAAGTTTTACCCTGTTTTATACAACACCTACAAGATAAACCAGATAGGTCATTAATTCTAGTAATGTTTGTTTACTTGTTCAGTATGTAGACACTAAAAGTTGGTTTCATTTTATATAGCACGTTTCCGTATACGTTATTTTCAATGCGTTTAGTTTACATATGACATTGGACATCGTAATCGCAACAGAACAGGGGATTTATTGGGAGATTTTATATTAATAGAAGGGTGATGATGTTGTCATCTCGAAGCTTTTCAATTAAAACAAATACACAAACGTTACAACGTATATTGAGAAAGAGAACGTAAACACATTTAAAGTATATCTGAAAGTATATCTATTATATTACACGCACATAAATATACAGTATGATATATATAAAGAGAGTATATTTGCACGTACATGTGAGTATAATTACAGTTAATGTGTTCTGTATGTTTACAATACAGTCATGTATATTATCTTACTATTGATGTAAAATCGTCATAAACTACAAGCATACAGATAAAAGGATGCCTGAACAATTATTGTGGTATGTTAGGCTAGAGGTTGGAATTTCTTATCTGTCACATATTGAATTCTCTTTAAACCTGAGATGCATGTGGCAGACATATAAATCTCAAAGGTTCAAATGAATATATTCTCCGAAAATCATGTAATTGGAGTGAAATCTTTTATTCAAGACCGAGATGGTGTTCTTAAAACCCCAAGGTACAGTTCCATGTACTTATAATGATATTAAATACAAACAAAGTTCAAGCAGGTGAAAAACGTGTCCATCACTCGGTACGGAGAGTATGTTCCTCCCTAAACACAATTAGTACAAATGTCAGATACTCTTATATACAACTTTGATCTTTTCAATAAAAGGATGTTAGTTCCCAATAGATAAAAACAAAATAGATTTGTACGGTATATCTGTGTGATCTATTAATTCACCTTTCGTTTGCTGGTTTACAAAAAAAACTATGTACGGTGCACTTTTATTTGCCAATTCTGATTTATTGGCTACAAAATTAAATGGGGTTTAATGTCTTACTGTTCTGCATAAAACAAAAGGAGCTAATGGGTGTTATGGGAAATTGCAGGGGCACAACCGCTAAATCAAATTTCCAACTGGCAGGTGGCCTTTGATATGCTGCCTATAGTAATCACGCCATCTCCCTTTTTTGCCCCCACTCGAACGACTAGACCCATTTCCTTTCGAGGTATTTTGTCCTGCACCACTGACAAAGGGAAACCAGACTGTAACTACCGTATAACTTTCTCAGCCAATACCGAGTTCGAACCCGAGACCATATTCCTGACAACATTGTGTCTCCTTCTATAAAATATGACTGTTAGTTTATCGTTAAGACCATACATTTTTATAAAGGATACATTATTCAACAGCTAAATCGGTCTATTACAGGTCTTTCTTTAGGCCTTGAATTAATTAGACATTTATTAACATGACCAGACTCTCTAATCATCGTGTGGCACCGATTTTAAGTAGATTAAAACGGTTCGACCATTTAAGGATTTAATGCAAAAATGGAGAAACATGTCTAAGTCCCGAATAACCTGCCGCGTGGTTACGATAACAAACAGTCAGCGCACACATCTTGTCAAAACTACAATCAGTGATAACTCCGCTCAGAATAAAGTAATTTGGATGAACTTTTCAATATATTCATTATGCATTATCTATTTTTGAACTATTATAGCAAGAACGGCAAGCACCGTATCTAAATCTTACATAATGCATCTTTAATCTATAAGAACCAGTACACAAAAAGCAATGAAAAAGAAACACGTTTTTTGCGATTTTTATTTCTCTGTATATCTATGTTTTCACAATCCAAGGATGACGATTATGATTCCCACACCAAAATATTCGTCATGCTGATGTCCCTGTATATCTCTGGACGGCTAGTACTGATGTGACAATTCAATTTGATAATAATTATTTACAGGAGTAATTAACTTTAATAAATATTGATTCACCTAAAGATTGTAGTTAATACGATTAACTTGAACTCGTGACTGAGCTATAATCTTGTAATCACATCGATTGGTTTTCCGGAACTGACCTCTGGTTGATGGATATTTTAACAACTGATCCGAACTTTAACCTATAGAAGCCATTTTACACATTGATGTCTTTGAACACAGATGTTTCAAGACATCTGTATGGGTTGGATACCCATGAGTCAATTACTGAGATACTAATGTGAATGCACCTTAACCGTAGATCTACTGCTCCGTCACCCAATCTGCTTTGAGTCTTCTAACCATCACAGCTGAGTCAACAAAACGCAATCAAGGGTGAATTTAAGTATTGGCGTGTATAATTCAATCATTTTATAGACTTTTGGTTATACTCTGATTAACTATTTCATTAATGCGATTGGCTGGATTTAAGTGGTCGCATTAGTATTCTACCGTCATCGGAAATCGCAGTGACGTTAGACTGATATTATGTCCTTCTTATCCGCCCAAGACCTTTCATTAAGCGGTTTCCAGGTCTGATTAGTATGGCGAGTATCATAATAAAACCTGATTACCTTTCCTATTAAGACTAACTTGTCTATTTATGCTATCTAAATATCATCGTTCTAACTGCATTAAGTGTAAATTCGTTAAGATATGTTAAGGTTTATGTGAGTGACTCGGGTTTATCTATAAGTCATCTAAGAGAAGTAATTATATCCCGCAAAGAAATGTTACTTATTTAATTATTAATATTTATTTATGATGTTATTATTAATCACGTTGTTGAAGACGACAGTATTGTAATTAAATACAAGATTTGCATTTTGTTTGGTCTTTTATTTTCCGCCAGTAAATCTTTGCGAATGTCTTGTTCTTTAATGCTTTGTATATACGAAAAAGAGAAATTGTGTACTTACTTTTCTCTTCGTATTTAAAGATGACACATTATTGAATCGGATTTGTCGGTCATTCCATCAAATATGTCACGTTATTAAATCGAATTTGACAGTTGCGTCATTCAAGCTGAATTAATTGATATGATTTTTTTTAGCTGTGACATCTATCACCTTTATAGGTAAAATAAATGAAAATTAAATATGGCGGTGTTATAAAGTCTTGTTTCAAGTAGTAAACTTGTTATTTAACTGTTTTTCCCCACGTCAGTACATACATTCATTGTCATCTTCTCCATTGTTACGAATGGTTCACTGAAGATCACTTTGTTTTTATTCTTAATAGCGACTTAGCGGCATTGATGTTTCTGGTTATTTTGACAAAGTTTCTTCAGAACCACCTTCTTCCAAGCCTACATTGTGTAATCCCGATTCAAATAATTTTATTAAATTTAAATTCAGTTCATTGAATACCCAACTGCCATTGATATGATGATGCCCTTATGGCATTTTAATTCAAAAGTCTAAAATTGAACCAGAGAGATTGTGTATACTTACTTTCCTAAACTACATAAACAATGGTTGTTTCGTAAACTACATAAACAATGGTTGTTTCCTAAAACACATTTTACGGCATAACCAACAATGGTTGTTTTCTAGGGCACACTTTACCACATAACTAACAATGGTTGTTTTCTTGGACACATTGTACCACATAATTAACTATGATTGCTATACTCTTGTATTCTCAACAGATCTATATGTACGGATGCAAATAGTCGGTATAATATCTTATTATGCAAAGTATGTGGACATTTTTTTGAATGGATTATGTTTAACCAGACGACTGATCCATTCACAGCTTATAATCTTTAGCTTGCGGGAATTCTCGATCCTATTAGAATACAGTTCTGTATTATCTATAAAAATGTACGAGCCCACACTGTATCCACCAAAAAACTTAATAGAAATTTATTTAAACTTAACCCACTGTAAGATCATCCAAGATTATTTAAGATATTAAAAGTTTTACATCTGCACGAATAATGCCTAGTTTCAATGAGACGTTTAATCCTAGCACTCCAGACCTTGCAGACAACTTAATGTTCAACCACTCTATCGAACCCTGACAAGACGTTAGAGAGGCTGTAATTAAATCTCGGCCGAATTCAGCATCACAATATATAGCATCAAACAGAAGGCTTTTGAATTATATACATCAGATATTCCATATTTCATTTTAAACTATTATTAAGCTCAAACCAAAGGATTCAGGTGTTTTAATAATGAATAGTATGGCTTGTCTGACAGGATGAGCTTACTGTTTGTAGAACAACTGAATCCGCTATACAATTATAAGAAATTATCGTGTCTGGATTGTTATCTTCCTCTTACTCGATTATGCCAAATTCACCCACAGGATTCTTATTTTGTCACAGAGCTAGGATCATTTATACATTTATATATCCGTGTATATATATAATTACGTGTTGGATTAAAAAAGAAAGTCTGATATACTATTTATTTCATATTCGTTTTGATGTCATTGTTGTTGTTTGTTAAAAGACCTGTGTATATCCAGTCCAATCCAACCCTACGACAATTTGTCAAGACTATGGAACAATAATATTTAAAAGAGCTAAATCGCTATTCTTTGGCACCTAGAAATGGACACAAATGGGTCGCAACGAATATAATAATGTATATAAACTGATTTAGATTTAATCGTTTCTGTTTGTACTGAGTAATTTCTAATCAGTTGTGTTCGGCGAAATACGCGAAAAGTTCAAATTGAATGGAAATCTTTGAGGTCTGGTTATTCCAGTCTACACCCAGTCTACACTGGCTGGCACGCGATTCGTGTGCCAATTTTAAAATTGTCATTCTGTCTTAAATATTGTAAATCAGAAGCCCATCTTTTCACAGTAAGATAACAACATCGATGTTGATTTAAACTGATAAATACGCCAGTTTTGCAATGTCGAACACAGTGGATGATATTGAGTTAGCGTCCTTTAATGGAATATTTTTAAAATTGTATTTTCAGGTGGTGTGGAGGTTTGTAGATGAAGATAAGTTTTTAACAATTGGTAAAAAGACTTGGTTTAAAAGTGATAAAATTATATTAGAACATTTATCCCAAGATGATAATATTACTAATTGGGATTTGTTAATTAAAAATACAGAATTTATAAATGGTGGCATGTACGAGTGTCAGATAACATCAACTGTTGATTTAACTAGAAGAGTTCAACTTAACATATTAGGTAAGTTTTAACGGTTTATTGAATTTGCTAGCCGCAAATTGTTTATGAGAATCCATTAGTTTTATTTGTTTCATTCCATGTAGATCATATTTCCATGTAAAGTTAATGGAGTAAGGAGCGACGGTAATGCTCTCATGTTAAAAATAGTTACCTGTTGCTTGGTGACGACTGCTATCGTAAACAAGATGGTGAAGAGGGGCGAGGGGCTCATACCTCCCACTAATAAGTATATCGAGCTTTTAATTCAAATTATAGCACATTTTCAAATAATTTAGCTTGGTTCTCTAACTGGAAACTCCCACATACAATTTCCTGTATGAAATTGGTGCTAAGTGTAGATTCCGGGATAATTAAAGGCAATATGATATGGCCATCTTGTTAAATAGGATAGTTATCATAATACATTTATAACAAATATTAAATTATATAGACAAATTATTCCTGGCTATATATTTCACTCAGACATTAATCCTCGCTGATAACGTTTAACTAGTTTTTTATGGTATATTACCCAGGATCTTCTACAAGATGATATTTTACTGTCTCGACCTACGCATCATTAAATAACTTAATAGCCCATTATCCGGAAAAGACAATACGCCGAGCTAACTCAAATATGAAAATGAGGTGACATGGTGTTTAAGGCCCTACTGTTCTGAACCAACCCGGCTAAGGGCATGTTTTCCCGGACAGTGGCGTTTCCGCCAACTCTTCCTGGATTTCCAGCCGTGAAGGGTTCGTTTTTCCTTGCCAGGCAAACTCAGACATCTACGAAGTCATGTAAATCACAACTGTTTATAAGCGATCTATTAGAATCCGATGAAAACTGAATATTTAAACGTTGTATGCTTATTGCTATAGCGTTCACGCCAACGGTTCAGTCCTATGAAGAACATTAATTTTAAACATGGATGACATTATCGACTCGATTGAATTTTAATAATTTGGAAATCCCAACAGCGTTGAGCTATCTAATATATGATATAATATTCACAACAGCTGAAAATAAATTAATAGGAAATGGTTTAAGGCGATTGAAGGGTATTCATATATGCAGCCATTACTGATGAGAGTTCATATTTCTTTCCGTCATTTGGTCTGGGGTTTTTATCTATTAATGTATCGTCCGGTTGGCAGGCAATTCATTACACTTCGCCATACTTCGTCTAAATATAGACGTAATGACAAAATGTATTTTCCACAAGAATAGATCTCCAATCATAATGAACTGATGTGTGTTTGGTATCGACAACACCATAACAAATAGGGGATTTTTTTTCATATTTAAAGTAGTGTTATTAATTAAAACGACTTGAATTAATGATCGATTTCTTATAAATACCATTCATGTATTGCGATTTTCGTGCACCAAGCAGAACATACTGAATTCTCTAATCACGACCAGTCACCTATAGGTGTAGTCGTATACTTTAAATTAAAATCTTTATTTATTTTTTCAGAAACTACAATAAAAGGAGATAGAGCGATCGATCGTGGTGAAAGAATTTATTTTGTTTGTAACGTGACGGGGGGTCCCCATATACCTACAGATATCACGTGGTATAAAGATGGACATCCAATAACAAGTAGGGGATTCCCCCATGCTATAATAACTAAATATAGATCTAAAGTTAACAATTCTAGTATAACAGAATTTATAGTAGATAGAAGTGTTTTCTCTGATACTGGTGTTTATACATGTAAAAGTAAAACAGTGGACACAGTTAAAGCGAAAATATTTCTTCAGATAGGTTAGTATATTGACTTATTCTGGTTAAGAACCCGTGCATTGCATATTTGTGCACAAAGATAATAACTATGCTTAACCGCTTCGGTTTTTTTGTGGAAGATAACGACATATTGATATAAATAAATGTTTTGTATATATTATAATCCAAAATACCCCATTCTTTTGACCGAACATGGAATTAAGAATCCTGTATTAATTTTGAATATATCTTTGTTCTATGGAATGACAGTTGCGCAGCGAAGTTAAGAGAAGGGTTCGAGATTGCCTTATTTTGTTGCAAAAATTGTGTTCGGCTGAACGGTTTGAAAACTCTAAATTGCAAGGGGTATACATGTATCCTGTACTATCCTGATATTTTATAACGTACATGCACAATTAAACTGTATAGTCAAATCAATTCATATCGAGAAACAAATATTACCGACATGTCATGATCGTCAAAGTAAGGGTGCTTAGTAAAGTCAACTATTGTTGTTTTTAATTGATATTGTATAAATATCTATGTGTGGTTGTTTTTTTTCAGGTGATACAGTTCATGTTAAAAGAAGTGAGTATTCTTTCTTTTTTTAAATATTAAGCCTAAATCTTCCTTAGTTAAATATCAGGCTTACCAACTGACAGGACGGTAGACATATCAATTCACTCTTTTTTTTAAATAGTAAATAGAAAAAAATATTAATGACCAAAATCACAAAATCATACGTTCAATCCGACTCGTTGTATTTTTCTTTAAGCATTACTTTATTTCTAATTTTCTAAGTTCCAGTGTTTGAAGATTTAAAGGAAGAAAAAAGAGGAGGGTATTCACCTGCTTACAGTAAGTCCTTTATACTGTTTTTACTAATGCAGTGTGCATGCTCAACAGCAGCTATTCTGAAGTCCTTTATACCGTTCCGGCGTGGTTCCCCTTGTCAGTGGTGCAGGACGGAGGGCCTGACAAGGACAGCTGTCTAGTCCTTCGGATGAGACGAAAAACCGAGGTCCCGTGTATACATTGGAATGCACGTAAAAGATCCCTTGGCAGTTGGAATTCGATATAAGAGTAGGCGATAGTGCCGCTGCCGGGCAAAATTTCCCTCATAGCATACTGTATGGCGTATGCCCGTCTTCATTAGCCCAGCATAGGAGCAGAACAGTAGGACGTTAAACCCCATTTCATTTCATTTCATTTCCTTTATACCGTTTTCCTTGTATTCAAGGTGGGTTTTTAGACAGAGCCGAGTCTCGGCAGTAGTAGCATACATGATAAACGTATTTGTGTACCTTTAGTACAAGGCGACATCAAGCTTGTTGGGTAACCCCTAAAATACAAAGTGGCAGTATTAGGTGTAAGCATACCCTGCTTAATACCGGGCACCTATCTCAGTATATAGCTAAACGTAGCCATGGTTTGAATTTTAAAATGAGAAGTGATATCAAGTCACTCTATTAAAAGGTCTAGATTATAACCACTTTATCGATGGTCAACTTGATAATATTAATGCATTGTCGTTCCGTTTATTTTGTTCTTTAATTTTCAGCTTCCGGTTCACTGCAAACACCGAATTCGTGCAATAAACTTTCAGTGTCTGTAGTCATTAGACTGCTGTTAATAATAATTATTACAACAATACACAGATGACAGGTTGTATGATTAAGGATTCAGAAGCAAACTGTCGACAGTTCAAAACTATGTAAACATGTGGACTAACTGGTATAAACGTATGCGTGTGGTGTCACTCTCAGGGATAGATTAACTTATGGTGGGCGTGAAATTAAGGCAATGAATTAGTGTAAATATTGAGATTTCCCGGAGTGTGGAATGTCACATTTTAAAGAATTTTTGAGCAGAACCATACCATGTGAATGTGTGATTAGGAATACCAAGTGACCAAGGGATAGGAATCAATTAGCAATATAGTTCGAAACTAACCAGTTAATCATTCTAGTCTTTCAAATAGACACAAACTTAGTTCTGAAATAGTGTTACAACGTGTGTATAAAGTATAGACGTCATGTGCTGGCTTGCCCAGGTATGAATATATTTTCCAAGTGTTGAACTTAGTGAATATATACTGAAAGCAATAATTATGACCAGAAAGGGTCATGAATCATTCATTATACGTGTAGCGGACCTTTTCTTCTTTGTTGATCAAGATGTCATTGTATCGATAATGATATCTAGTGTGTTTTAAATATTATGTGGGGTACATATCTTTTATTCAATGAAAAGGTCTACAGTCTGTGCTTTATGATAGATCTAGCTCACCCAGACGTCACGCTATTCTAAAGTAGGAAGCGGCAGTGGGAATTAAATGAAAATTGAAAAGAACCAGAAATGAATATAGGGAGAATTCCGTTCACAGGAGAATTCTATACACGACGAAGATAATATAGTGAACTCCTGTAGCAAAATTTTAAAAGGGACAACTGAAGGATTGTCGATATGTTTTTGTAATGCATGTATAGAGGTGACTTTTACTTTAGTTCACAGCGGTTCTCACTAGATAATACTCAAATACAGTGGATTGAATAAAACACCGGGACACGTTCCCAAATAGCAGTATTTGCATAATAGGTGAAGTAGACAGCGACAATGGACACATATATCATGGCGCAAAGAATAATTGGTAAAAGGGATAATTTACGAAGAAATCAAAGTTGATTAATGTTTCGTCATTACAATACTTCCATCATTTTGAGACTAACTTAGTGTTATCACGTGTCCAATACTAGAGAGGTGATGTTTGCCAGGATAGAAGAGTAGAAGTCCATTATCCGTAGTGTCCTCATATCCGGAATCAATAATTGTACTTAATCAGCTTTATCTTTGAGCATGATTGGCGGGAACAATAAATCAGACAATGATCATAAATCAATCTATATCATAACCTATATATAAGAACGCGGAATCTATGGAGAAGCATCCAAAACGGTATTAAAAAATGTAAAGACGAGGTTCATGAGCATTATTATAAATACTATCCTATTATATTTATTCGGTGACGGTTATGTGCTATTTGTTGACAATAATCGTGTAAAAAAGAACCAAATATACAATAATGATCAATACATTCTGTAAGCAAGCATTAAAATTAAATCTCAACTATCTTTTTACTGGCATCGTCAATGATATATACGACAAATCCGTGGGATCAACAGATATAATATATCGTCGTCGTTTTTGTTTGCACGTGTCTTTATCCAGCTTGTTTCTCTAGTATTTAGTGATTGCATTGGAATACACGAGACACCATTCAATGTAACACAATTACTGTTTTTACTAGTGTGCAACATTTCAACTAGGATTCCTCTAGTTTTATCAATCAATGAGTCAGTTATAACCAATGATTTGATACTGTGTTTTTGCAATTTTATCATTGCTTAGTAAAAACAAGAGATTCTTTGTTGAAACGTCGCTAACAGTAATTTTATTCTATAGAATTGGGTCCTGTGTATGTATTTATTCACTTATAACTGCTCTTGCCGTTTGCCAATGGAAAATAAATGGTTCTAGAGCTAAAAATGAGATCTTGGCTTGCTGCGATAATTCCCTGTATTTGATACCATGTTTGTCTGTTACGCATTTAGCATCCGTGTAAAACATTTTACATGAACACTATTTATCTGTTTTATTCTTCCTATTTGATGAATTATTGAATATTGAACTTATGTTACGCCATATTCACCAAAAACATGGCTACTACACTGATCAACTATATCTTTGTTATATAATGCTATATTTTGTCATATTTAATTGAATAATCCGTTATGCTTATTTATCAATGATATGAAAATAAACATTTATGATACAAAAAGTTGAATTAACTGGTGGTGTTCTTGTCTTGATCGACGACTTTAAGCTAAATTGTAAAGCTGGATTACGTTTACGGGCCGTCGAAACTGAGTTATCCGGAGACAATTCGAGGGGTTTCAGTGATGTATTAGATGTTGTCTAGATGTAGGTGACTGTTATCAGTGTTTCAGTTCCTGGCGTTAGTTTTACATATCGCCGTTAATTGAATCTTGAAGTCTTTTCTTATCTTCTTGAAGTCTCGGATTTAACGCTTTGTTGAAACTATCGAAGAATGCAGACGTTTATAACCTTCACTGGGCCAAAGAAGTAAATCTACCGAAAAAAGTAAGACATGGGTGAAGAACATAATATCTGTGGTTTATTTGTTCCTGTAAAATATATATAAATATATTATATTTAAGAATAGCGCCAGCAAATAAATGAAATGAGGTTTAACGTTCGATTTTTTTTTTGCAGCGACCGGACTAACGAAGATGGTGCCAGCAAATAAGAATGTCTTTAGTGAATAAGAAAGAGTTGTTTTAGATAGATAAATACAACTTCTACCTGAAATAGTCCATGTTGTAACGGTTAGATAGGATGATATTAGTCCAGACATTTTGTCCATGATTAATAATTAAACCAGTGTAGTAAAGAGTGTTGTCTGGGTTAATACATTAAGTAACATCCCAGTAGCCACGGGGATTAACTTTCACATGGTTAAGCCATTAAACACAAAATCCCAGTTAACTTCTTGTATAAATAATTACATAATGTCACATAATATTACCACAAGTTGAGTCTTCAATGAGTTAAATCATTTGATATGATTATCGGACTGGGGAGAACAACAAACCGATGTTACTCTATGAAATTGGGTTTAACGTCCACTCGACTAACATAAGCTTCAATTTTATTTCAGTAATTCGCTTTTGCGTAGGGCTCTTTAGCTGTGGGAAAAAAACCCAAAATATCCACACCAAACTCCTTGTCACGTACAAGTGATGGATCGAACGCATGCTACTTGATTCAATACCAGACAATATGATCTAACGCGTTAAACCATGTCCCCACCTCGTTCACTACAGGCATAGCAGAATTAGAACAAAAGATGCAGAAAGGCTGCACAGTCTTCCCAGATATTATGTAACACTGTCTAATACATGCATAATATAGCTGCCTATATTGCGAGTTACATGAACAATAATCTTATATAACAAAACATTTTTGAAAAAATAAATAATTAAATCTTGAAAACAAATGATAATGAAGGCGCATCACTCCCGATAACTACTGATAACAATAAATTCAATTGTAAGTATTCTTCTACTGTGATTATTGTACTATACGTATGGAAATAAGTCGAACGGTATATCCTTACCTTAATAAGTATCATTTCATCAATACATATAATTACTTCTTAAGATGATCTATTCCCATAACCCGTGACAAATCCTACCGCATTTGCACTTAATTCAGATTGAATGCTGATATTTAGATAACGTAAATAGACAAGTTAGTATTGATAGCAAAGTTAATCAGGTTTTAGTATGAGGCTCGTTATATTAATCAACGTGGGAGACCACTTAATACAAGATTCAGGATTGACTAAGGAGGACAGGACATCGTCCTAACGTCAGTGCGACGTCTTGAGATGCCTACAGACTAATGTAACCCCCTATCAAGTCTATCGTTTTAATGAAATAGTTAATCAAAGATATGAGAAGACCAACTCCAGTAGCTGATTGGATTAAACACTGGACTCCTTCAATTCATTCCTGATTGCTTTTTGTTGACTCAGCTGTGATGGTTAGAAGACTAAAAGCAGATTGGGACGCACACTTCTAGACCTGTGGTAAAGGTATAAAATGTTTATTAGTATCTCTGTAATTGACTTGTAGGTATCCGATCCCCTTACTTGTCTTGAACATCTGTAATCGGACATCAGCAGTGGTGGAAAAGGGTTTCCGTGGGCTAAATGTCGAATCAGTTTTTAAAATATTAGTGACCAGTGACTGAAAGTTCATCTCCCCCTGAAATACAATTTTGCTTACAATATAGTTCAGTTGATATTTCGAGACATTTAAAAATTTATAATCATTTGTATAAATCAACATTTTTTTCTAAAACCCTCTTCTATAACTGAATAAAACCACAAATCAATTAAGAAGGGGCGGGGAGGGGGGGTGTCGAGTTTTCTGTCATTATGTTAATTGGGGATTCAAACCCAAGATTATGCGTGACAAGCAGTAGGGCCTTCTACCAACTTCGTGTGTTTTCATCGGTTCTCCGGCTTCCTCCCGCTGCTACACAACACCCCTACACGAAAGGGATTTGTTGAAACTCAGTTTTACCTTTGTTACTCCGAAATGACATTAAACGCCATCTCTGTGGATGCGTGCCCCCCCCCCCCCTCTCCAATCAAATGAAAATGGTATTTATCATAGATGCCACACACGTGTGGGTAAATGAAGGGCATCGATGTATCGTTCTTCTTTAGAGGTACCGTTAGTGGCGTTTTACGCTAGCAGTTGCCTACTGTAGGTCGGGATCATGGCTAACCTGTAATTAACTGGCATTTAATGTGTTTTACCTGACATCAAAACCACAAATTCATAGATCACGTACATTAGAGTATAGTTCAATCTGTTTTATGTTCATCTATTGGGAACTCTCTACTTTTTTGTAGCAAAGATCAAAGTTTTGTATGACATATACTGACATTTGCATTGATTGCTTTAAGGGAGGAACACATTTTATATACCGAGTGATGGGCGCGTTTTACACCTGTTACTTTCAATGGTTGGTATTGATTTTCAATGGGAACATCAAATGATACTTATTGACACCTCAGGCTAAACCAGATAACTGTAGAAAATGTTGTACGTACTACACATTTAAATAGAAAAACAATTTCTGCACTTGTACCGTCAGTAGTTCAATTCGAAATAAAACCTTCATTCACATCGGTGTTTAAATAGTTAGACATTTGTGTCGCACTTGAATTATAAAATGCCATTTAAACAATATGTCAATCAGTAGTATGATTAACACAGGTGTGTATACAGTCTGCATGCAGTAACTAGTACTGCACATTGGAAGTATAATTCGTCTGCAGAGAGAGAGAGAGAGAGAAATGGAGTTTAACGTCCACTCGACACAAACTAGGTCATTTCGGAACTAACACATGGTTCAATTTTATTTCAATAATTCGCTTGCAGGTAGGGGTTTTTAGCAGTGGGGGGAAACTTGGGGACCCGGAGAACACCCAAGGTTGGCAATTCTTCTGACTTTAGCGATTCGGAACTAATGCATTAACTGCCAATCAATTGGAAAACAAAGCTTTGCAGACCGTTCTGTTTGACACGTGTGATACTGTGGTATAATTTAACACACTGGAAAATCTAAAAAGCCAAATTTTTATTATACACATAATATTTACGTGTAAATACTTTATATCAGCCGATGCTAACTAGTTTATTTCTTATATACTATAACCTTGAATATGTAAATCATGCCTTATATGTGAATCTATACATTTATCACTTATGAATACAATTTGTGTATAAAACCACTTATCTATATCGATCTTTATCAATCAATCATAATCAATATACTAACACAGCAAGTGATGAAACCCTAACATTTATCAACCAGTAATGGATCGATATAATAATCTATCAAGTGATAGACAACATCAAGAACCCCTCTGGTGCCAGAGGAACGTCAACAAACACTTATTATTCCATAGCTGCAAAATAACTTCTTTTGACGCAATGAACATCCCTCAAGAGGTTAGTACGTCGTTGGTATAATCTACTTCAAATCGTGGAACCCAAATTTCGACATTTGAATAATCCTATAGCATTTCAAGTACATTTCCTCTGGTAGAATTTACTTCAGAAGTAAATTGAGTTAAAATTGAAATAAGCCATGAGATATTTGACTTGCTAATTCATCGCGTTCGTTCAACTTACAGCCTCAAGATGTAAAATTGGATTTTGTTTGTTCGCCTTTTCAGCGATCAATTCCACAAAAAGCTTTCAATTAATCACAGATCACCTCGGCTTTAGTCTTCAATCGATGAACATTCAGACAGTGTTTCCCATCCGATAAATTTTAGTGGTAAAAAAATACAAAACCAGAAGTGCCAAAGACTACGAATGTCGTTAATTTACGATAGATACCGCTCAATATCTTCTACTCCGACTATAATGGAATGCTGGTTACAATTTGTCGAGTCTTAAATTACGTCTTTAATACACATTTATCATTTTGTAAAGTGGCAAAAACTGTCCCCACCTGAAGGGAGAGATCGTGTACAATCTGATTACAGAGAATTAATATTTTCTCTGGGAATGCAGTATTCGGATGTAAAGCGAATTTTAACAGATTTAGTGGAATTAATGATTGGTTCACTTGGAGTCTGTCCGCACGCATTTAGCTCTTTGATAAAATTGTAACAGATGGATATTGATGGTATTACTAAATGATCAAATCTTACACCGATGTTTCTCGAAACATTTGCATGGAAATGACACGACTTGCTTTCAATACGGTATTTGCCATCCACTTATAAACTTGTGAACTTAGAACTAATTTGATGAAAGTGTGATACTATATATTCGATGTTGCATAAATTGCACATAGAGAGCCTTGCGGTATATTGACTGATCCCTTGAGATTAATCTACTGGTGGCAAATGTGGGATTTGTTGATATAAACATATAAGTGGTCGCAGTGATCTCCAGAAAATGTCCTTAATTTGTTTCCATTCCTGACTGAGTATGATTTAATTACTTGCTAAAAGCCTGTTTAGCGGTCAATCGATGGATGATGAGATTATTATTCTCTTTGATGTTACCTACAACATGACACAAGGATTGAGGCTAATAAATAGTCTCTATTTTATCAGACAGATCGTGCTCGATAAGTAATGCGGTAATGTGCTATAATAGGATGAGGCAAAATCTGTACAAGTTTGATATTAATACTCAATATTTTCATACTTAATTATGAACTTCGTGTCTTGGCTATTATCCTCGAAGAAAATAATACAAGGATACAGCAAACATCAGGATATAAAACAAATAATAAAATAAGTCACCATACCCTGTCTCGTACACGACATTTATACGGGTAGCTAAATGAAGCGATAACTAATTATTACTAACCTAAAACACTGATTTATTTTTAGTAAATTACAAGTATACTTATTGGACTTGGTTGGGACAAATTGTACAGGATACACGACTGAAAAGTTTATAAATGGTAACCAGACATCTGCAGACGGAATCAACCTGGGTATTGACTGTATCTTAAATTTGTTTGT